CATTATTTGCAGAATACTATCAGGACTAAGTTCATGATAAATTAAAATTCAATTAATCATATTACTTAAGAACTCCCACTTAGATAGACATCTCTCTAATCATCTAAGTGATCATGTGATCCAAATCAACTAAACCATAATCGATCATCACGTGAAATGGAGTAGTTTTCAATGGTGAACATAACTATGTTGATCATATCTACTATATGATTCACGCTCGACCTTTTGGTCTTAGTGTTCCGAGGCCATATCGGCATATGCTAGGCTCATCAACTTTAACCCGAGTATTCTACGTGTGCAAAACTGGCTTGCACTCATTGTAGATGAACATAGAGCTTATCACACCCGATCATCACGTGGTGTCTCGGCACAATGAACTTTGACAATGGTGCATACTCAGGGAGAACACTTTTATCTTGAAATTGAGAGATCATCTTATAATACTACCATCAACAAAGCAAAATAAGATGCATAAAGGATAAACATCACATGCAATCAATATAAGTGATATGATATGGCCATCATCATCTTGTGCTTGTGATCTCCATCTCCGAAGCACCGTCATGACCACCATCGTCATCGGCACGACACCTTGATCTTCATCGTAGAATCATTATCATCTCGCTAACTATTGCTTCTGCGACTATCGCTACCGCTTAGTGATAAAATAAAGCAATTACAGGGCGATTGCATTGCATACAATAAAGCGACAACCATATGACTCCTGTCACTGCCGATAACTTTGTTACAAAACATGATCATCTCATACAATAAAATTTATTATCATGTCTTGACTATATCACATCATAACATGCCCTGCAAAAAGAAGTTAGACGTCCTCTACTTTGTTGTTGCACATTTTACGTGGCTGCTATGGGCTGAGCAAGAGCCGTTCTTACCTACGCATCAAAACCACAACGATATTTCGTCAAGTTAGTGATGTTTTAACCTTCTCAAGGACCGGGTGTAGCCACACTCAGTTCAACTAAAGTTGGAGAAACTGACACCCGCCAGCCACCTATGTGCAAAGCATATTGGTAGAACCAGTCTCGCGTAAGCGTACATGTAATGTCGGTCCGAGCCGCTTCATCCAACAATACCGCCGAACCAAAGTATGACATGCTGGTAAGCAGTATGAATTGTATCGCTGACAACTCACTTGTGTTCTACTCGTGCATATAACATCTACGCATAAAACCTGGCTCTGATACCACTTTTAGGGAACGTAGTAATTTCAAAAAATTTCCTACGCACACGCAAGATCATGGTGATGCATAGCAACGAGAGGGGAGAGTGTTGTCCACGTACCCTCATAGACCGAAAGCGGAAGCGTTAGCACAACGTGGTTGATGTAGTCATACGTCTTCATGATCCGACCGATCCAAGTACCGAACGTACGGCACCTCCGAGTTCAGCACACGTTCAACTCGATGACGTCCCACGAACTCCGATCCAGCAGAGCTTCACGGGAGAGTTTCGTCAGCACGACGGCGTGATGACAGTGATGATGTTGCTACCGATGCAGGGCTTCGCCTAAGCACCGCTATGATATGACCAAGGTGGAATATGGTAGAGGGGGCACCGCACACGGCTGGGAGAGATCAACAGATCAACTTGTGTGTCTAGAGGTGCCCCCGTGCCCCCGTATATAAAGGAGTGGAGGAGGGGGGATGGCCGGCCCTCCTTTGGCGCGCCCTGGAGGAGTCCTACTCCCACCGGGAGTAGGATTCCCCCCTTCCAAGTAGTAGGAGTAGGAGTCAAGGAAAGGGAAAAGAGAAGAGAAGGAAGGAGGGGGCGCAACCCCTCCCCCTAGTCCAATTCGGACTAGGCCTTGGGGGGCGCGCAACCTCCCCTCTCTCTTTCCCCTAAAGCCCAATAAGGCTCATATACTCCCCGGCGAATTCCCGTAACTCTCTGGTACTCCGATAAATACACGAATCACTCGGAACCTTTCCGATGTCCGAATATAGTCGTCCAATATATAGATCTTTACGTATCAACCATTTCGAGACTCCTCGTCATGTCCCGGTCTCATCCGGAACTCCGAACTACCTTCGGTACATCAAAACACATAACTCATAATATAAATCTTCACTGAACGTTAAGCATGCGGACCCTACGGGTTCGAGAACTATGTAAACATGACCGAGACTCGTCTCCGGTCAATAACCAATAGCGGAACCTGGATGCTCGTATTGGCTCCCACATATTCTACGAAGATCTTTATCGGTCAAACCGCATAACAACATACGTTGTTCCCTTTGTCATCGGTATGTTACTTACCCGAGATTCGATCGTCGGTATCATCATACCTAGTTCAATCTCGTTACCGGCAAGTCTCTTTACTCGTTCCGTAATACATCATCCCGCAACTAACTCATTAGTCACATTGCTTGCAAGGCTTATAGTGATGTGCATTACTGAGAGGGCCCAGAGATACCTCTCCGACAATCGGAGTGACAAATCCTAATCTCGATCTATGCCAACCCAATAAACACCATCGGAGACACCTGTAGAGCACCTTTATAATCACCCAGCTACGTTGTGATGTTTGGTAGTACACAAAGTGTTCCTCCGGTATTCGGGAGTTGCATAATCTCATAGTCATAGGAACATGTATAAGTCATGAAGAAAGCAATAGCAACATACTAAACGATCAAGTGCTAAGCTAACGGAATGGGTCAAGTCAATCACATCATTCTCCTAATGATGTGATCCCATTGATCAAATGACAACTCATGTCTATGGCTAGGAAACTCAACCATCTTTGATCAACGAGCTAGTCAAGTAGAGGCATACTAGTGACACTATGTTTGTCTATGTATTCGCACATGTATTATGTTTCCAGTTAATACAATTCTAGCATGAATAATAAACATTTATCATGATATGAGGAAATAAATAATAACTTTATTATTGCCACTAGGGCATATTTCCTTCACAAGCATCAATCACACCCTAGCATGATTCAGAACAACCACCACCCTTACAGAAATCATGGCTTCCTACAATGAAAATCCATATCGGCTGTACTGATAACACAAAAGATGTCTGAGAAAAATGCCATGAGTATGAAAGAATAAAATCGGATGTTTCATCCAAAAGGGAAGAAGAGTGAGCTGAGGCTGGTCGTAATGGGAGTATCATAAGTGGTATCATGCATGCCAACTAGACTTTTTGGATGATGTGGCACACAATTAAATGAGGAAAGAGAGGGTGCGGTATTAGGGCATCTCCAACAGGTTATATGTTTGTCTTGTTGGTAAAATGTCCATGTCATCAACAAACAAGCTATCATACAACTACTCCAATAGGTTGTATGTAAGCTATCCAATAGATGATGAGAAAATAAATGTGATTGCTCTCTATTTCACCTTGGAGCTTGTGCAAAGGTTGTTGGTTATTCTACATACAACTTTGCTCTCTCTCCATATTTGCTACATGCCACATCATCATTATGTCCTAGGTGGCAAATTTATCAACACCTATCTTACAGCTGTTGGAGGTGCCCCCATATCATGATACCGTATCATATTAAATGTAGTACTATTTTGTGTCATGCATGACAAGTAATAAGGCAACCTAAGATACTAACTTATGATACTATGCATTACGGACGTAGTATCATACACTAGTATCACATGCATGATACTAGTATATGATACTCACCATTACGACCAGCCGATGCAAACATCAATCCTCGAGAAATCCTCCAAGTGGGACTTTTTTCCCCAAGAAGATAACGATTTCATAGATAGTTCGTTCTTACAGAAAAGCCCAGAAAACAATAGATAATACAAAGGACTCCTTCTGAGCTCCAACATCGCCGGCATCCCGAACAAGAGGAAGACGCGCCGCCGCCTGTGCTCGTGCATGCGCCTTGGATCGACGAAGGCATCCCCATGGCAACTGGGAAGTCCTCACTCACCGCCTCCAGACAGGTAACGCCCAGGAACAACGGCTCCGCCGTGAACCACCATGTCGTCATCTTCGAGATCTTCACATCCCAGATCTGCCGCCCCGCGGGATCTGACTTGGGAAGGAAGCACAACACGAATCCGTCGATTCGCGAGTGCTGGGGAAGCAGGCGCGCCACCACGGACACAGAGCTCCACCGAGCGCCGGAGTCGAAGGGGACGCGCACCTGCAACAAAAACCACACCGGCGACTCCACCACCTCCTCATCGCCGCCGACCGGTAACCCTACAGACCCTACACTAATTGCAGTCGCGAGACGAGGACCCCCCGCCCTCCCGCCGACGGACGAAGGACGAGGGATCCGGCGCACCGGCGGCGTAGAGGTGGATCGGCCAGGAGATGTAAAAAGTCGCCCCTCTTCTTCGGACGTCGGACGGGAGAGGGAGAGAGACGTCCAGGCTCGTCTCAATTACTGCCTCCAAGTGGGACTGCTATGGGTAGTTCCAAAAAACAGGCACATGGGCCGTGGAACTATGACACACAGCTGAATCACACAAACATACTCCATCCGTTCTTAAATATTTGTCTTTCTACATTTCAAATGGACTATCACATACGAATATATATAGACATATTTTAGAGTGTATATTCACTCATTTTGTTTCGTATGTAGTGACTTGTTGAAATATCTAGAAATACAAATATTTAGGAACAAAGGAAGTAGATCACTCATCACCATCACCTAAAGCATAGAAAAACATCACCAACTACTGAATCACGCCTAGGGGAAAATCGTCATGCCACTATGAAAACCAAATTTCCCTATTCGATTTCGCATGTGATTACCGGATTACGCCGACACCACACACAAGACGTGTCCACACCAGCAGGTCTTCCCACAGTCAAATCTGTCAAACAAGTGTCCACTCCGCTGCGCAAAGCAACATTTATTCTTGATATATAAAAAGCAACATTTATTCCTATCCCACCGCCACCTCGAGGAGGAGCACCGCCGCTGCCAACCCAAACATCCGCAAAGAACTATCTCATTAATTGCCCCGCACCCTTCTAATCTTAATTTAATGCAATCTCCTGCTAATGGTGATGACTCGCGCACTCTTCCCTTCTTATACACGCCGCGCCACTCCACTCCAGTACAGCACCGCCCCACCTCCAGTTCACACTCCCCTCACATGCCCATGGCGCCTCCGCCTTTGCTCCCCCTCTCCGCGCTCCTCCTCCTGCTCGCCGCCGCCTCCCATGCCTCTGCCAAGCCCGTCCAGATTCAGGCCCTCCTCGCCACCCCTCTCTCGCCCGACCGTGTCTCCGCCCCGTCGGAACTAGCCCGCGAGGACGACACCAACGTCTTCGCCGGCAACCTTGCCGCTGCAGACGACGCCGCCGCCTCGACAGTTCGTTTCCGCGTTGTCCACCGGGATGACTTCTCAAAGAACGCCACCGCGGCCGAGCTGCTCGCGCACCGGTTGGAGCGGGACGAGAGGAGGGCGGCGCGGCTCTCGGCGGCCGCCGGCGCGGCCAACGGCACGCGTCGCGGCGGCGGAGGGGTCGTGGCGCCGGTGGTGTCCGGGCTGGCCCAGGGGAGCGGGGAGTACTTCACCAAGATCGGGGTGGGGACGCCCGCCACGCCGGCGCTCATGGTGCTCGACACCGGCAGCGACGTCGTGTGGCTGCAGTGCGCGCCGTGCAGGCGCTGCTACGAGCAGTCTGGCCAGGTGTTCGACCCGCGCCGCTCGCGCTCCTACGGCGCGGTCGGCTGCGCCGCCCCGCTTTGCCGCAGGCTCGACTCCGGCGGCTGTGACCTGCGCCGCAGTGCGTGCCTCTACCAGGTCGCTTACGGCGATGGCTCCGTCACCGCCGGAGACTTCGCCACCGAGACCCTCACCTTCGCCGGCGGTGCCCGCGTGGCGCGCGTCGCTCTGGGGTGCGGCCACGACAACGAGGGTTTGTTCGTCGCGGCGGCGGGCCTCCTCGGGCTCGGCCGAGGCAGCCTATCCTTCCCCACCCAGATCTCCCGCCGTTACGGGCGGAGCTTCTCGTACTGCCTTGTGGACCGTACCTCGTCGGCCAACTCCGCCTCCCGCTCTTCGACCGTGACATTTGGCTCTGGCGCCCTAGGCTCCACGGTCGCCTCGTCCTTCACCCCGATGGTCAAGAACCCTCGGATGGAGACGTTCTACTACGTGCAGCTCATTGGTATCAGCGTGGGCGGCGCGCGCGTCCCTGGCGTGGCGAACTCCGACCTCCGTCTCGACCCGTCGTCGGGGCGTGGTGGCGTCATCGTGGACTCCGGCACGTCCGTGACCCGGCTCGCCCGCCCGGCCTACTCGGCTCTGCGCGACGCATTCCGCGGGGCCGCCGCTGGGCTCCGGCTCTCTCCCGGCGGGTTCTCCCTGTTCGACACGTGCTACGACCTGAGCGGGCGCAAGGTGGTGAAGGTGCCGACCGTGTCGATGCACTTCGCCGGTGGCGAGGAGGCGGCTCTGCCACCGGAGAATTACCTGATCCCGGTGGACTCGAAAGGGACGTTTTGCTTCGCGTTCGCGGGCACGGACGGCGGCGTGTCCATCATCGGCAACATACAGCAGCAGGGATTCCGGGTGGTGTTCGACGGCGACGGCCAGCGCGTCGCCTTCGTGCCCAAGGGCTGTTAAGATATGCTGATGAGTAACGTCGCTTGATTAGCGGATGAAAGTACGGCTTTGTCAGTCATAATTTAATCATGAGGGGTTTAGTTAAGGTGATGGGTGAGAGCTTTGGATGCTGTGAAAGCTCTGGCGGTGGGCAGAGTTGTCGGGCAGGGTAAGGTGTGAGGATAAGAGCATCCACAATGTTGCCTTTTGCTGCCTCCAAACGCGCCTCTAAGGCTTTAGAGGCCGTCGCCATGCACTGCAGCCACTCGCCTCCAAGCCAAAATCGCTAGCGTCGCCTCCAAGCGTAGAGGCAGCCTTCAAGCATTTTCCTTCTATTAAAATATTCCCAGGGCCCTACTTGTCATGTGGGAAGTTGAGGTTCAAGCATATAATTGATGTAAAGCGACACAAAACCAACGAATTATTTATAGTTTTATGGGGTCCACATTAAAGGCTACTCAGTACGCCATACACTGCGAGCTTTTCGATTAAGCTTAGAGGCAACACCGTGGGCCCCAGTTTAGAGGCAGCACTGCCTCTTACCACTGTGGATGCCCTAAGGCGGTTTGTTTGTTCAAGGCTGTAAAACTGTTGGTTAAAAAACAGGCTATCTCTCCTTTCTCTACAACTAGCATTTCTCATCCATTTTACTAAACACCAGTGTTCTTCCTACGTGCTGGCCTACCGTGTTACTGGCTCTCTTTGTTGGATCACACTTGCTTTTATTTTATACTGTATTTTGGAGATCACCCTTTCGTCACTCACACACACACACATGTACATACAGATTGGCCGGTTAGCTGTGCCTTGACAATTCGAAATTGCCCTCTGCTCCTCCGTCGTCATTTGGAAGCTCTCTAACTGTACCAAGGAGTAAAAGAGACGTCGCCAGTGGGGTTACTCCTGCATGTGGTCTCAGCCTGGTCACAATGGGCAAGAACATAAGATAGTAACTTACACACTTCCCTAGACTATGTTACTATCTTCATAGTGGGTAGGAACATCTATGTAGTGTCATGCAACGATGTATTTATTAGATTATAGACTCATTGTTTCTTGAAGTGTGTGATGTTCCGGTAACTTAGATAGTTACCATAAACACCTCTCTCTTCATTAAATATGTGCCACATAAGCAAAGTTGTATTGGAGTGTGTGATGTTACTCCTAAGTTCCTCCCCATTGTGACCAGCCTCACTAATTGTCCAGGGCCGGAAAATGGGACCGAAGAGGCGAGGAGAGAGATTGGCTCGAAATCGCGGACGGTTTGTTCGCTCTGATGAGGAGCGGAGGAGAACGTTGGTGCTTTTGCTTTGCTTTGCCTTGCCCTTCTTCTGTGGTGGGGCTGCCTGCCTCGGGCACCGTGCTCCTTTTGGCTGTGTCTGTCGCTGTCGGGTAGGGCTCCTGCCACCTACTACCCCATGCATCCGAATTTCTTTAAAACACTCGTAATGCGCTGCGACCCGCGTCAGTTACTGGTGCTGATGGCAACGCCTCCTCCGGTTGAGGCTACTGGCTCACGCGCAGTGTAAACAGCGAGAGAAGGTGGTGGTGGCCGACCGGTTCCGCTAGAGGTGTAAACATGGCACATGGGATGCGAGGGCGGAGGACACGGGAAAACGAAGGCAGCCGTTTCACAAGGCCGCCATGCTCGATTGCGCCAGCTACTCATCTTCGCGAGCAAATGCGTACAGTGCCAGACATTGTGAAACTCCGCTCTACGCGTCGGAACGAAGGATGAAAGTACGCGTTTCCTTTTCTACTTGTACAATGTACAAAATCGGGACGCGGCATCGGTGCTTCGCGTGCTCCGTCCGGCCTTCCGTCCACAAATCCTGCCTGCATTCGCTCCCTCCTGTACCCGTCCGTCGCCACGCGGCTTTATTACGAGGAAATAGCACCGACGGTGCGTCACCCGCCGCATAATGATAATGTCAATGGGTACACACTACACATAGCAAGCCACCCACAACTGGCCGGACCACCCGCTGCTGCACTTACTGCACTTAGGCTACTCATAGTGGGAAGTATCATATACTACTATATCATGCATATATGCATGATACTACTATATGTACTACTTTTATAGTGCATAGTATCATAAAGTTGTATATCATAGATGACCATATTTACTGTCATGCATTACATAAAGTAGTATAACATTTAATATGATACGGTATCTACCTATGTTACTCTGACCATTTTTATCTTTTTTAATTGTGTGCCACATAAGCATGTTTGCTAGTCCCAAGTGCATGTCATCGGTTATGGTACCGCACTATGGCCAGCCTTATTGCTCCGGTACTAGTAAAATCTACCGCCTTGAACTCACCGTGATTGAACCACAACCCCGTGCCTTCTGCCTAGGGAAACTCCAACGCGGGCATCACATCGCCCCTAAATATCACTAGAGTTACTAAGTTCCCACGAATTGTAGCTCCCTGATGCATCGCGGCTGTAATTCTCGCTGGAGGCCCCACCTGTAAGTGGGTGGATGGTTGATGTTGTTTCTTTGGGTCAATGAACGTGGCGCTGGCACATGAAACGGATCTTTGGTGGTTCGATCGCGGTGAAAAAAGATCAAAACCGCCCGATAGCTTCAGTAAAACCTGCCGCTGCAGCCGTCGCGCCAATCCCGATCCCGATTTCCACTTGCCTCGCGCGCAAGGGCAGCCAATCCTGCAGGTCGCAGCCGCCTCCTGCTGTCGGGCCGCCGTTACCCACACGTCACCACTACTCCCTCTTCCGTTCCCATTCCCCCGCCGCCTCCACCTCCTCTTCATAGATCCGAGCATGGGCAGCAGCCAGCGGAGGAGCTCGGGGAGGGGCGATACTGCTAGGGTCCCACGCGGGCATTGTCGAGGTGGGGGACGGGCCTGGAGCAGCGGTGGTCGAGTCCGACTCGGGCGAGGTCGAGGTGGGAACGGGCCGGGTGCGGAGGAGCGCAACATTGGGTGAGCTTGGAAATGGGCGTGGGTGCTCGATTCTGGTGTGGGCAAGCTCGACGTAAGGAAAGCTGTCAAGGTAACCATGAATGTGTAAAAAAATGCTTGGATTAGTGAAAAACAAGGGGCTGCAGACTCAGGTGCTCCTTAGCTTCCTCTACTACGGTTCGATAATTCTCTTCTCTCCTCCCGACCACCCTCATGTGCTATGTTCCAGTATAGCTTTTCCGATTTGGCTCCGGTGGTTTAGAGCTTGGATTTGAGTGCACTTTTGGTTTGTGCTTTTTTTTAGAAATGGAGGAAGATCCCCGGTCTCTGCATCTGAACGATGCATGCAACCACTTTATTAATTATTCACACAAGACCTTACAAAGTCATATAAAAATAAGACTAAAGCCACCGTCTAGGCAACATCTATCGCTGCTCCTATCCAATTGATGAAGGAATGTTGATAGTCTGGGCCTAATATCAAACAGACCTTGCAGCCAAACCTAACATCTAAGACCTGAGGTCCCAACCAGGACGCCTGCCGGGTATGGGGCACCCACAGTCCGGCGCACTCCTCAACCTGGACGCCTGCCGGGCATGAGGCCGCCGCAGCCACCTGCCAACAATCCATCTTTAGTGCTGTACTGCTGCATTTACCTTTGCCCGGTCTAGCTGCCGTCGACGCCACCACGACGCCAGACAACGCCACCATCCTGCGCTCGTCCATCATCACACGCCCACCGGCGAGACCCCGCTGCTCCATGCCGCTGAGACCCGCCGTTGTTGACGTGTCAGATACCACGCCGCTCCTCCTCTTGTCCCCTCCAGCCAACACTTGCTCCAAAATGATGCCCCCAGGAGGGAGAACGACATCGAAACATCGCCATCGTCCGATCCAGTAGATCCAGATCTAGGGTTTCCCCCGGAACCTTCCGATCAGGTTGACGTGACCTGCAATGACGATGCCTCGAGAAGGGAACGACGTCCGAGACGCCGCCATCGTCCGCCATGACTACAGTCAGGCGCGATTTTCACCGGAGGCCACATCGTCCCGATCTCACGATTGGCTGGAACCGAGCGGTGCCCGCCGCCGAACCGGTGACGCCGCCGCCGATCCGGTCACGCCACCGCCATGTGACGCCTCCGATGGAGATCCCGATCTAGATCGAAGACGACCTTGACCGAAACTCCGCCACCAGCGCGGCCACACCGCGCCACTTCCTCCTAGCCCAGTCGCTGTCGGATCCAGCGGTCCCCGCCTCCGGGAGACCAACCGGACGAGGCGCCCCTTATCCCCGAACAGCCAACCTGCGCCGCCGCCACGAGGACCAGAGGAAGGAGGGAGTGCCTCGCCGCCGCCCGTGCCGCACGAGCTTCGCCCGGCAGGCGCACTCCGGCGGCGGCGAGGGGATGGAGATGTTGATGAGCGGGAGTCGCTGACGGCCAATCTGGATCTCCCGAGACGCGCACACGGGGCGCGTCGCGGGAGCCTGTTTCTCAGCTTTCTTTGGTTCGTGCTTGATGGTTGTAGGTCGCTGGTGTTTTGCCATGGATGGTCCCTTTATTGATTTGTTTGTGATGCTTGCTTAACTGTGTCCCTTTGTGCTCAAGGTGTTAGCTGAAACATGTTTCTGGTTGATGTGCGTGCTAACCTCCTGGTAAAACTACACTCACACTTATTTTAGATTATCATAATATAACTTCTAGAAAGGATTTTCAGATATATTTTTAGAAATACGATGGCTTATCTTTTAGCTTGATTTACATGCCCAATTGTTAGGTTTGTCATTATTTTATATCTTCAGAAGCTGAATTTCAAAAAATTCTTATTGAAATCTTTTCTAGGGGGAAAGTATTAAGAATGACTCGTTTTTACTTTCAGTTTGTTGTTCTGTTCTTTTCTTCTCACTTCTTATTATATGAGAAGTCATCTTAGAATACTCAACAAACATGAACAAATAAGCGAGACTTTTCAAATGCAACAAAATAATGAATATATTATATTATATTTTTGTCATTATTATTATTATTAGTGTTTTATCATTTTGGGACTTTTATTCTTTACTATCCGTTCTAATTTTGAGTCTTTTA